TCCCGTATGGGATAGTAACTTGTGGCTGCTGTCTGTGTATATTGGACGGCTCAATTGAGTGTTTGCGAGTCACGATATAGCGCCACTTTAGTGGCCTCTACATCATTTTAACCCTTCAAAAATGCTTCTTTGGTGAAGGTTTCAAAAACATCACGGTTAGAAAAATAGCCGATGAGTAAGCGTGATTGGTTATGCTTTTGACTCGCTGACCAAACTACTCTAGCAATTCGTCATCTTTTTGACAAATCGAGGCAACCTCCGATCTCTGGATGATGGGATCTTTCATTTTTTCAAATATTTTGAGGAGCTGGTCTTTCGAGTGATTGTAGCAGCCCCTAATCTCAGGTTTTTTCCAGGCATAGCTATCTAAAGCCTTACTGGTGAGAGCACCCACCAAACGTAAGAATTTGATGTCCTCATTTAAGACAACAGTCGGCAATTACCTCAAATTTAGTGATAAATGCATGAAAATCGCTTGTGCCATAGTATTGGGTCAGTTTTGATATTGCTAGGTTTGGAGGGCATGGCCCATGAGGCTGGGTGGTAGTCATTGCAGGAGCGGCATATTGGAGTCATTTGACTGAGTCATTTGACTGATTTTGACTGTTATGACAACTGTGTCATGAATGCATCTTTGCATAGGAGGGCTAATTAGTGGTACACACTCTCTTGGGCAGCCCTGTGATTTTGTGCCGTGGTAGTGAATGGCCTTTGTCTGGGAGACTGCATAGACGGGCCATGGATTATGAATGGCTTTTGTTCCTTCTGGGAGTTCACATATTCCGTGGCATTATGTACTGGATGAGCTTTATCAATGGTGTTGTAATGCAAGTTATTTAAATTGTGTGTGTGGGGGGGTGGTACAGGAGGAGCTTTGTCTCCGATGACTCTTTGAGTTGTGTCAATGGTTGCGTCTCCTGTTAGGGCTTTTGTTTTTGAAAACTTAAGTGTGTGCTTTTCTGATTTTGCCGGGGCGGCTGTTTTTTCCTCACAAAAGAATCTCAAATCTTAGTTTCAAAATTCTTACTGCTCTTGCACAGTTCATGGAAGGATTTTAGTAACGTAATGTGTATTCACCTCTACTGCCTTGATTAACCACTACCAGCCGGGGACTCCGGGATCAGAGCCGTATGGTTTA